CGATCTCCGCAGAGGGTTACACTTTCGGTTGACGCTGTTCGTCCCGCCCTCCGCCTTTAAGAGAGAATTTGTAAGTGGGGAAATGTTTTTCATTAGGACATCTCCCGTGCTAGTTTTCCATGCTCACACTTGCCTACTCATTGCATGCTTGCATAGTCATTGCATGCTTGCATACTCATCATTGCACTTGCATCATTACACTTGCATACTTACACTGGGGTACGTAACACTGGGGTACGTATAGCGTTCATGTTGTAGTGCAAGTGTGGTGGAAGTGTCAGTGTGTAAGTGTAAGTGTCGAAGTGTCAGTGTTCAAGGGATTTTCCGGAAGAACCCTTCGCAGTGCTTTCGGGAAAAAAACAAAACTTTGAGGTTTGGTTCAGCGTCAAAAGATGTTTTTTGTTTTCATTTTTTGTTTCTTGTTTTGAAATCCATTCTTTTTGGGAGTCTTTTTGAAGGTTTGTCGCGAAAATGGATTTTTTGTTTCTTAACATTTGATGCTTTGCTTTTCTCATAGCAAATCATAAAAAGAATCAAAAACATTGTGTTTGTGTCTTTGGTAGTCGACTTCAACCATAAACCTTCAAACAACACAAGGTTTTTGGGGTTTCGGGTTTCAAAACCAAAAACTCAAAAACAGTCTTTTGAGGCTGAACAAAAATTCTCCTCAAAGTTTGTTTTTTTGTTTTTAGGTTGTTGTGGTTGATTATTTTGTTGCTGGTTGTCATTGGAGATTTCTTTTGTTCATTTGTCTTATTTCATTGGTTATTTGAATTGTAAAGTGCTTTGTGTTTCATTAGATTTCCTTTTACACAAAAATTTTTTAAACCGATGTAAATACCAGTAACTTTAATGAAAGGGCTGGTTTTTGGGAGGGGCGCCAGATAATTATTTGTAGCAGAAGAGCGGGCGTATAAGTATAAGTCCTATGTAGATGGTGAGTCGTTGCATTGTATATTTTCAGAACTGTGATGTTTTGCTGCAATTTTTGGGTTATTGTGAGGACGGGAAGCCACCGGTTTAGGGCAGGCCATTCCAGAGCTGAGTGACCATCAGCGAGGTGGTTCCATCAGCAGAAGTCAAAGGCTGTTTGTGTCAGTGTGTCCGGGTGTGTCCTGACTGTGTTCTCTTCCCACTCATGGATGGTTTCAGTTTAAGATGCTGCCATAGCCCTAGCCGCCCTACGCAACATGTAGGTATGAAAAGCAAAAATTGTTTGTGAAGTAGCGGGTGTTATGTTTTCTTCTTCGAAGCACTGGCTATGTCGTAATCTCTAAAGCGCTAGTTGTGCTGTGCTTGCTTGCGTTCTGTGGTTATCCTCGGTTGGAAAAGTACGGTGTCTGGCTTTGTGTTGCAAAACACTATATGATTTTTTTTGCGCTGCAAGGCACAATGCGCGCTGAAAAGCATTTGTACTATAATGTCATTGATGTTGTGGACTGCAAAGCATATGTCATGTTCTGCGCCGCGAAGCAGGTTCAAACGCCCCCTGCAGTTGACCCATCTAGTTTTGCGCGCAAACTGTTTCCGCAAGCCCCCTGCTAGTTGAGACTGCAGAAGAACCACCACGGTCCGCAACTTCTCTGGAGCGCTCCCCCCGCTGGGTCGGCGATATACAGTAGCCAAGCGTTTCAAGACAAAGCCACTTAGTTGCAGAGTGCAAACTGGTGTGAATGAAGAGGGAGTAATAGGCGGGTTAATTCATCAAGAGTGTATTGACCAATTGCCCTATTGCTGGGCGCAGATGCAGTTCCACCTCATGATGAAGCGCTTGAAGACCGTGACCATCTGCAGTCCAGGCACACGCAATGCTTGCAGCGCTGCACGCTTTTGCTTTTCTTTGCAGGACTTTGTGGACGGCGACCAGCATGTTTCAGTTCCTTTATACGTCCAGTATATTTTTACATTCATATATGCTAGCCCCCCTCCTGAGATCCACCTTTTGATGCTCTTCCAAAGACACTCACGATCAAATTCACTGCATACCTCAAGTAAGTCTGGAGCGAGTTTTAGTATGCGACTTTTACAAGCAGAATTTGGCAGCGTACACGGGCATTTGAACCAAGCAGACTGCTTTAGGAAGCACGCGCCAGGAATGAAGCCACCAAGTGTAGATGCTGTAGAGGCAAAGTTGCCAGCTGTCATAGGAATTGTTTGACCCCGATATCCAGAGATCCAGAGAAAAACTTTTGACATGTTATAATCGCGAAAGCCAGCCGGTAGGCAAGTCTTGAGTCCTTAGGGTGAACGAAGTGAATATTGGGGGTGTGGGGGGGTGGTGGTCGCACTGGGGCAGATTTTGGAGGTCGAACCCTGAGCCTGGTGGGGGAGAGCAAAAAAGAGTGTGGTCAGGAAAGCGTCCAAAAAGCACCAAAAAAGCGGTTTGGTGATGCAAGTGGTGTAAATGACGCCGGGTAGTGCATCATTAGCATCACGAAGAGGTCTGGAGACCATTTTCTTTGCTTTCTGGAGTGTCATTAGCAGAGAGGTTAGGTAGAATGTCAGAAGGTTTGCCAGACAAAATGTCAGAAGCTTTGCCAGATAAAATGTCAGAAGACACCCACCAGGATCATTTGTATTCATGATGGGGATCACTCGAAGTAAGTCCGTGATCTTTTTTGCAGAGCTTTCTTCTTGTACGGTTGGACACCACGGAGGGAGCCCATGCACGACTAACGAGAATGTCAGAGGATTAGGCAGATAAACTGTCAGAAGATAGTCATGGTGGGGATCACTGGAAATGTCAGCAGATAGTCATGGTGGGGAGCACTCGAAATAACTAAGTGATTTTTTCTGTGGCCATCGTTAGCAGAAAGGCCAGGTAGAATGTCAGGAGATACAATGTCAGAAGATTTGCTAGAAAGCATGCCACAAGATATGCCAGAGAGAATGTCAGACGATTTGCCAGATAAAATGTCAGAAGATAGTCATGGTGGGGATCACTGGAAATGTCAGAAGATAGTCAGTTAGCCATGATGGCGATCATTGGAAATAACTAAATGATTTTTTCTTCTGTGGCCATGTGTGGAAGACTTCAACACGATGCCCGAAATTTCGCCGATCAGCGCGAAAAACACATATTTCGGGCATCGCTGTTTTTGTCGTGTTGGCTCACGTATTGTTACTTCTCAGTTCCTTGCGCCTTCACCCGGACAATTGGTGGGGATCATTGGAAATGTCAGCAGATAGTCATGGTGGGGATCACTCGAAATAACTAAGTGGTTTTTTCTGTGGCCATCATTAGCAGAAAGGCAAGGTAGAATGTCAGAAGATAAAATGTCAGAAGATTTGCCAGAAAGCATGCCACAAGATATGCCAGAGAGAATGTCAGACGATTGCCAGATAAAATGTCAGAAGATAGTCATGGTGGGGATCACTCGAAATAACTAAGTGATTTTTTTCTTCTGTGGCCATGTGTGGAAGACTTCAACACGATGCCCGAACGAGAAAGCCTAAAACATTCAACACTTCATGCTGTGCTCCGATCTTGATCTACTCCACGTTGATACAAGCTCCAGGCATTCAACAATAAGTGCTCGCTTTTTTTCTTCCCAGTCTTGCACTACCATATATTGGTCTCTCGCTGGCTTTCGTCCTCTCCTTTCTCAGGTTTCAATAGAAGTATAGAAGTCAATCAGCAATCAATCAGAATCCAACTGGAATATATTTGCAATCAGAATTTTGTTAGAATTCAATAAATTCAGCAAAAAATTAATTCAAATTCAGTTGGCTTTCAATCAGAATCCATTCAGAATTCAAGTAAATGATAGTTTCAAAGCAATGAAAATTCAGGTAGAATCTAATGTAGAATTCATTCGGAATTGAATCGGATTTCAAGGTGAATTCCAGTGGAATTGAACTCGATTTGAGTTAGAATCCGAGAATTCAAGTAGAGTTTAAGTTGCATTCAAGAAGAGTTCAAATAGAGTTCTACTTGCAGTTCAGTTAGAAGGTATTTATAATTAAATTTTTGGCAGTTTTAATGTCACTAGAATTCAATGAGAACTCAAGTAGAACACATTCAGAATCTCATTAGAGAGCGTATTTAGTACCATTTAGGTTCAACCAACACTTACTTAGAACTTAATTTGAGTTCATAGGGATTTCAATTAGAACCCGGTTGGAAGTCAATGAGAAGCAAATAGAAGTTCAATTTTACAGCAATGATTATATATATATATTTACTTACAACTCAATTCGATCTTAATTGGGAGTTCAGTTAGAATGTACACAATGCTGGTCCACCCAGTGATCCAGAGAGACGTTTCTGGGATGAAAACTTTTATATAGTTGCTTTCGTCAAATTTCACTGACTCTGTATACTGTTGTGGAACTCCATGCTCAGACTTGAGATTCAGTGTTCAGATTTGAGATCCCACATTAATTTTCCAGACTTCACAAATCAGTTGAAGATGTGTGAACATTCTTGGCCATAAATCTTCAATCCAGATCAATGGTTTGAAGATTGAAGACTGAAGAGATAACTCTTGGCCAGAAATCATCAATCCAGATCCCTGGCTTGAAGATTGAACATTCCATGGCCAAGAATTTTTTCACATCTCAATCCAGGGATCTGGGTTCAAGATCTCTGGCCAAGAGTTTTCTCACATCTTCAATATCAATCTTCAACCCAAGGATCGCAATCTTGCACGCCAAGTCTGACAGCTGCTCAGACTTGAAAATCCCGAGTCTGATTGTGTGTAAGTATATGTCTTTGGAAGAGCATCAAAGCAAATGGGGTGGGTGGATCCAGGGGGTACCATATACTGTATATATATATATGTATATTGATATATCATTCCTTTCTTAGCTGCAGGTGCAGCACGTGGACCTCTGAGAGCCATGCAACATAGCCATGGAGTTGATTCATTGATTGGAACAAAGTCGAAGGACAGACGTGGCTACTTGTAGCATCTTGCAGCACCCCGTTTGACCAGATGCACCGTGTCGAGCGAGACGCAAAAGGTGTGGTAAGTGGGTTTGAGTCGGTTTGGATGCAATGATTGGACCCTGATTCCTCGACTCACTCCTATTTATGTTGTTGACTCTCCGCAAGCGCACAGTCTTTTGTGGAATAACGAACCGCAGAAGAGAACATGGCACCGACTGCTTCAAAGACTTGCAGCTGGTAGACTTGGACAATTATGAAACCATATGGCCTTTCTCCGTAAGATCGGATCTAGCACAGGACACAGACGATGAACTTGGCCCTCTTTAACGACCTGGAACACTAAGAACTTCAGATCAAACGCCAAGGGTGCAATATCCCAATACTGACCGCATCTGAAAATGGTACTCCCCACAATGGTACCCTTCCAATCAACAAGCCTGTCTTTTAGACTGCCAAAGTGCCGTGCCATGACTTTGGCGGCTGTGGTGGGGTCACACCAGACACGATTTGAAACACAAATTACAAATTCTAGTTCTCGACGTTCATAAGAATTGTTAGAGGCAGAGGCCATGTGTACACTAATTCACTAAAGGGAACGCCATGCTGCGTTTTGGATGCCAGGCACCACCCACCGGTCACCCGCTGCTTGGTCATTGCATCGGTTTCTCTGACTGTGGTACGCGCTTTTGCGGGGAGAGTGGTCGGCATGCATCTAGTTTTTTCCTGTGCATTGCACATTGGAAGTTTGGCACTGCTATGGAGTCCAATACATGGAGGATTTGGATCTAGAAAACATATGAAGGCATTTGGGTAGTATTCTCTTGACAGAGTGTCGTGCCAATAAGTACACAGTTTGTTTGTTCGGCTGTTTTGCAGACCAATGTTTGCCAACTTTGCCGAACTCAGTGAACAGACACCAGGAAAATGTGAATGCAAACTCAGTTAGTTGCAATTCCAGAATCCTTCTGCCGCAGGGGTGCGCTCTGGATCTTTTGTCACCCACCACGCTTTTGCTAAGCTGGCAACTGGTCATCTATGAGTTGCAGCTGTGGAGGCCTCCAGGCTATGAACAATGTAAACATGTAAAAGAGGTTGAGCAGACAGATCTCAGCAGACCATTGGAAGGCTCACAAGAATGTGCCACATGCCTGTCCTCTGGCGCATGAACATGTTGTCATAGAATTTGAGAATGAATCTTTACGAGTGCATCAGTCTCACGATCCATTCAGGTGGGGGAGTTGTATGTAGTGTGGCCAGTGTAGCCAGTACCGGCATATATACTCCAAATCAGCATGATTTCACTCGTAGGTTGGTGACGTGCTTCCTCTTCTTTGGACCCTTCGGCTTGCCTTTCTTGTGGAACATCGCTGTCCTGGTGGCTTGGGGTGCAGCTTCCCATTTGACCAAATGGCGTTGAAGCTTCCAACTAATTTGTCAATAAAGCTTCCCATTGAGGAACTCTGGAGAAGAGTACTTCCTCCCGAGTCGTCAAGCAATCCAATGTGCAACTGATTTAGTGTGTTGAATTTCGACACCTGCCTGCGAATTCTGGACACTGCGCAACTGGGTCTAGCAATGTGTAAGTGTAAGACAAATGTTGAACAGTGTAGTCCTGTCAAAGGCATGTCAGGGTTTTGTAGCTAATGGCGTGCCCCGACCCTCCCTGACTTGCTGCAAGGTTAGAATTGAAACACGCAAGGCACTCAAAACTTTAAACCAGCTTTGTTTTCGAGATTCTCACACTGGAGTGGACGGGGCCGTTTGTCCTAGACAAACCCGAGAGGGAGCAGCTGATGCGGGGTTTGTTTGCATCAAGATGAAAGTGACAACAGCACCGCACTTCTGGTACCTAAAGTCACTGATTGATAGATCCCAATTAATTGCGCTGACAGGTACACTATTGTTCCTCGTTGGAAGGTATCTCCTTTCAGCGGAAAACTGCTGATTTCCTGTGGATGCTCATTTGTGGTGCAGGCGCTTACATTGTGTTTTGCAAACATTTGCAACATCACAAAAATTGACATGATCTTGATCATCAAGGCCTTGGCCTTGGACAGTCTTATGGTTGCTTCCTGCTATGCTGAAGGAATGCTGCTGGCGCTTTCCTATTTCTTTGGAAACATGTGCGCTGTGGAAGAGTTCAACACTTCACCCCTTGGGATGCTTCCCAAAGAGTGAAGTGATGATATGCTGTTTCTCAGGTACTTTGTTAGTTCCTCTATGATCGAACTCATGACCTACGTCTGGGGACGGAAGAACTCCAATGCCAGAATGCAGGCGGCAAGAATTGTGGTCAACCAAGACTGTTTTGCCATGATTAAGTTCCAGATGGTTCACGTGTTTATAGATTTGAGCGTGGTCACGCTAGTCTTGACCAAGATGGCACAAAGTGCTCAATTTAGCGACAAGCCATGACTCCGGTCCTGTAAACCATTTTCTTTATATACACATACTTTTTTGGTGTTTGGTGATTCATTATGTGCTTCTCTGCCCACTCGTGCCACTGAGCATCACACTCCTGCATGCTGCAGCAGCTGTCATGCATTCTCAATGCACCGCCCGTCTGCCTGTCACATGCCTTCTGTGCTGCCATCTATCCCTGGATGCTCAACCAACGCTCAGTGTTGGGGCCCATAACCTGTGTTTCTTTGCCCGCCCATGCTACTGAGCATAGCCACTTTCAGACTACCTCTGGTGGCATGACGCGTGCACCTTCAGGGCTTTGCTCTCTTATGCACATTCAAACCCCTTTGTTTCAGCACCCACAGAGCTGAAAGCAAAGAAAAGCTTGTAGTGTTAGTTCTAAGATTCTAAGGATTTTGCAAAAGAAAGACATGCGTTTGAACATGCAAGCTTTTGGTTTGGCTCCTGGTTTGTGCTGTTTTGGTCTGCACTGAAAGTCTGAACAGGTATTCTTCTTCGTTGTCAGAGCTCCTTATTTGCCATGGGTCGCCGCCTTAAGTCTTAGTAGGAGTCATGAGAGTACAGGACCCTATATAGTTTAAGTTGCTACAAAAGGAGAATTGCAATGAACATTGACTACGTCATAAAGGCCTCCTCACTTTATTGAGGTGCTCGCTGGCATTTCTGCCCTCATGGGCGGTGGTGTCCAGGAGCTTTGAATAATTCCTCTCCTTTCAGAGCTTCTGTGAAAGCTTGGAGCGGTATGCAGTTGACTCTTGACAAAGCTATTGCAAGATACGGCTTTGCCCCTCTGAAATAACGATTCGTTCTTCGTGTCACTTGGTCAATCTTGTGGACGGCTTTAGGGGCCACTTTCTCACTTGATTCTCTCCAGTGGGGAGCGTGTTTTTTGCTTTGGGTTCAGGACCACTTGTTGGGCATTGCAGTGGGGCACGTCTACTACTTCTTTGAGGTGGGACACAGGAAGAAATCTACTTGAGACCGACATGGACTCTTATGTGGGGTGAGGGTTGTGAAGTGTGATTGGAATCACTTGTGAAGCACGATTTGGATTGCTTGTGCGTCACCGAACTGTTAGTGGAGGGTTTTGATATGAGCGTGTTATTCGAAGTGAAGCCCCCACCCCACTCCACTGCACTCCACTCCACTCCACTACATCGAGCAGCACCTCTTCCGCAAGCACATCCAGCACCAGCACAAGTTCATCCTCAAGTACTTCAGCACCGGTGTCTAGCTGATCTCAGTTTAGCAAGTATATAATACATCAAACACATTCCCAATGCGTGATGAACTCCATGAAACTATGTGAGGAGGGTTAACCCACTCCACCCCACCTCACCCCACGCCACGCCACTCCACTCCACTACACTCCACTCCACTCCACCACACCCCACCCCTAGCCAACTCCTTCCAGTAATGTGCTGAAGTGAGTGACCACAGTAGATGTGTCAACCCTTGTCGCTATGTTGGGTTGGTGAAATGCTTCTTAGAGCCTTCCTACATGCTCTCGTCGGAGCGTTGGCAAACCAGCAAACCCCGAAGGTGTCATCAATTCTACTATGAACATCTATGAACCGTGTCGATACTTAGCTGTGTAATTTTTAGTTTTAAAGTTTGAGCGAACGACTTCAACGTGACATCCCGTATGATACAAGACACCAAGCATTCTTAACTCTTCGAGTTTCACAAGCGGGTTTCTGCCAAACTCTTTGCTTTTGACTCCTTTTAACTGCTCTTTGCACTGTTTGTTGAGGATATCTATCCAGTTCTACCGACATCAAAGGGATTCCGACTCTTTCGCACGCCAAAGCTGCTGAAAAAGGCCCTTGCCTCAGCGAGGAGTCCTGTTGCACTTGATTGATGCGCAGAAGACAGCTTGTAGCGCCAGCTTGACATGCCTTCGTTGCTTGTGGACACAAGTGACGACAAGACCCAGGTATGCAACCAACGCGACTAACGACTGAGATTTGATCAAGATGTACAGTGAGTGATCACTGGACAAGCTGCCCAGCCAATCCCAAGATGAAAAAATAATACAGCTTCCTGGTCAGGTTAACAAAATAAGCACCAGTTTGGAACGTCAGTCTTCCAAAAGGTCAGCCGAAAATACAACCACAATGTGATCATCTACATATGGTTTGGATATCTCAGATCTCGCCGACTCACACTGACTCATCCCGAAGGTTATGTCCGCTTCCAACGCTTTTTATGGTGCCGCTACTCACTCACTCAATATACCTGTTGGATGCTGCAAATTTGAAAATGCATTTTGGACTTACTGTATTCAATTTGCCACTTCAATTTGGGGCGTGTCATAGCCGCTTGCAGGTTACGTGCGAAAATAAGAGCTAGCAAAACCCTGATTCATCGAGGATCACTGGATCCGCAGCATTTTCCAAGACGACCGCGGCCATGGCACCGGTGCCAGAGGATCTTGTGTCGAAATTGGGGTCCAAGAACAACAAAGAGATTGATGAGTGGACCAACCAAGTTGAAGAGGTGGGACTTTGCCAACTTTCGATTCAAGTTAACCTTCAGAACCTCTTTTCCTCGGATAATTCTCAACCCAAATTAACATGTTACAACCCATTGCTTTGTTGTGTTCGTTGCCAGCCCACTCTATTTCCAAGCTCATTTAGTCTCCGCGTCCGGTTGCTTGGTAGCTAACCAACTCATGTTGGTAGGAGACTGTCACGTCCGTAGAGCTAGCAATGCCTCAACGTGTCCTGATCAATGCATGCCCAAGTCAGGTTACCTCCCAAATCCGTGGCATCATCGATGGGACGATCACAGACTTTGAGGCCTTTGATCAGCAGCTTGCCCTCAAGGAGCGTGCCAAGCAGATACGGCAGGAGGAGTTGCTTCAACGAAAGCAACGGCTGCTGTTATATGGCAACGAAGGAAAGGGCGAAGGCACCAAATACAAGTGGTGGTGCAAGAGATGCTTCGTGGAGTATACCATTGATTTGCCGGAAGGTTCCTGGACCAAATGTAGAATTGAGCAGCTACTTTGGTGATGCATTTTTTTCATCCCGATTTTGAATTCATGTGCCAGATGACTGGTGTGGAGAGCGAGTTCTAAGGCCAATGCACCAGGTGCCGCCAGGCGGATCAGCTAATGTCTCAAGAAGCACGGCGTCAGGAGCTGATGGGGAAGCTGGAGGTCTTCAAAGAAGAGAAAGCAAAGCACAAATGGCGGAAAGACAAGTGGAACCGATGGAAGAAGTCCCAAGCACTTCTGGGGAAAAGCCGATTTATAAACTACAAGGCATGGCCGGTGTCACTTGATGAAAGCACATGGCCCGACAAGCTAAGAAACCATTCTGAGTCAAGGAAGGACATGTATACCGTATACAATGATAGAAGCACACAAAAGTAATTAAGCCATTCAGAGCACTGCAAGGCCTGGGAGTACTGGGAGCCTGATACAGATTCCGAAGAAGAGGGCGATCCCATTGTGCCCAGGGACAATCCCGAATTCCTCGCGATGGAGGCTGACTTGAAGGAGAGAAAAAGGAAGCAATCTGAAAAAGCAATCACGGCGGAAAAATGCCGTCAAAGGGGAAATCAGTGCATGAGCGAGGGAGACTATGTTGGTGCAATCGAAAACTATGATGAAGGTTTGGAGTACCGTCGAGATTGTAAAGCTCTGTGGACCAACAAAGCTTTGGCTGAGCTCAAAGTGTTTAGATGCTTGCCACAAGCGCTTGCCCCAAGCAAGCATAGAGACTTTCCGCCAGCAACAGTTACCAAAGTCATTTGTTGGGTTTTGGCATTCATCGCTAGGACCGGATCTGACACACTGGTGCCTCAATCATTTGTAGTGAAAGATGCTTAGGATGGCATGATGCGGTGGCTTCTTGCAACAAAGTCATTGAATATGCCGAGATTTTCGAGGAAGGCTTTGCCAAGAGTGCTGATGCATGTTTCAAAGCTTTCACTCGAAGAGCTACAGCTTTGCGGGGCTTGCACCGGTGGGAGGATGCTGTGAACGACTTAGAAGATGCACTTAGCATCTACCCCAAGAGCAAAGAAGCCTTGGATCTCTTGGAGAAGACCAGACAAGCCTGCTTGGAGGCCAGGTTCTTATAGTCGTTCAGATTCATTCTGACAAATTTCCCGAGAGTTTGGGAACTTTGGACTTAGGCCAAGAAGGCCCAGAGATCTCAGGAGTCACCGGAGCCACCAAGGCCCGAGGAAACTGGGACGGTGCGCGTGGAGATTGAAGAAAGCGACTCAGAGGGTGAAACGACCCTTGAGGCTCAGGAGATGACGGCGGAACAGTTTTGTCCTTTTCCAAAGTGGTTGAAGAGGCATTACCTTCAAGCTTGTTGTCCAAAGGGCATATATAGTATAATCATACACATAACCGCACTGATGTCACCGACCCCCCTTCTCTTTTTTGGTGGCATATCCATCACAAATTTTCCATATGAGGATAATACGAGTATTTGAACACGATTTTTCCACGAGTAGTATATATATATATATTTTTGAATTTGAATCCCTCTACTATACTATGGAACTTAATCTGGATAAATGCCTTTGAACCGAAAGCAATCTTCCATCAAATTCGCAGGTGGATCCCTGGTACCCCGCAAACATACAGCCACATACCTTGGTACCCTCCTCACAGATACTGTTGATAGCAAAAAAGAAGTCATGAACCGCATCGCAGATTCAGTCCGCACTTGCAACCGACTCAAATTGTTTCGGACCTCCATGTCATGGGATAAATTGAGTTTTCACTTCATCCTTCGGAGTAAGCTCTTAATTTATATGGGTTGGCAACCATCCAATTTAATCAGTTAGCACTTAGGATATAGAAGAATTCTACATATACCTCCCACAAGTGTTGACAGAACAATGACCAACGCAGCTGCGAAAGAGCTTCTCAGTTGTCGAATTCTCACGATTATGGTTGAAACGAACGATTCAGCTCTTAAGGCACATCATCCAAGCAGACCCTCAAGATCCGATGCGCCAGGTCCTTTTCCTTCCTAACTCGCTCATACCTAGAGTTGAGCATGCAAGACTAGTAGGCAAACCCAGGGCCCACTGGCAAATCGAAACTCATGCTGATGCTTATAGAGAAAGTGGTCAAGTAGATCAGTTTCATATCAGCAACATCACAACCATGTGTCGACTACCTTGACACTGAATGCTTGATCACCGAAAGTCTTGTCGACTCTTCACCCAAAGCTTCGTGACCGAAAGTGGGCACATTCCCAGTCCTGCCTTTATCAGAATGCTAGGTTTTCCTCACCCTGTTGCTTCTGTTGTTGTCCTGTTCCTCACCCATTATGATTCATCTCAGGTTTGTCTCCCTCGCAAAGGCGACGACAAGTGTCGTGTTGCAGTATTTGTGTTTGCACATAGAAATCAAGTACCACGCGGGAGTCTCAAGGCCTCATAAAAACACAGTTCTGCCAGTTGGCAGGGTCCAAGGCGCCAGGGGCGTTTGGAGGGGGAAGATGGCGTGCCACGTGGCGCTGAGGAAGCTTTGAGGGAGGAAGGAAACCAGGGAGCGATTCAACCCGTGCCACACAGCAGTTTTGAAGCGCACTTGGAGATGTCATGCTTCGGCAAAGCGCAACCCCACACCAACGCGGTCCCAGCAGGTGCTGGGCAGGGTCGCCGGACATATGTGTATGTATGATTGTGTATGTATGTCTGAATGAATGTCTGAATGAATGTATGGATGAATGAATGAGTGAAGATGCATTATACAAAACATGCACAAACGATGGTTGGCAGGAGTCCGACTCCAGTTCTCTGCAGCACCTCAGTAGACAGCATTTTGCCAACCTTCTCAAGGACTTGGAGTTGAACGAAACTGAGAGAAGCGCGTTTTGCACAAGACAAGGCGATCAGTCCGACACCAAAAAGCTCAAAACCGATCAGTGGGTTGGCCGAAAGATCGACTTGAAGGTGGAGGCAGGGTCTGGGTGAAAGCATCTATTTTCTAACATGTTGCAAAAGGGACCCCCCATCATGCATCATTGTGAGTAAGAGCCACGGCCCACGTGATGAACTGTGTCTAGGAGGTTCTTCAGCCATCTCGACTAGACACACTTCTTCGGGATATTGAGCGCTGCAGCTTGCTTTGGAAAAAACGCAGACCGGGTGACGATGGTCGAAGAGCTTTGGAGGATGACGAGTCTTGTTCCGGAAACACATTTTTATTTTTTGCACCAACTGCAAAGGATACAGCTTAGTGGATGTTGTCTACATGAACTGCAAAGGGATTTTCTTTGGCAAAAAGGGTGCGACGAACACTTTAAGTGATAGGTGCTCTCAGATCTCAACTTCTTAGGAACCCGAGTCCCAAGATGCAGATCGATTTGTCAAGCTTGTGACTCCGCGGGCTCTCTCTCTTCTCTTGGTGCTTGCCAAGTCCAGTGATCACCACTGCTCCTTGACCGTTTCAGCTTTGCGGCATGTGTGGCCCCTGCTCAATGTCGAGGACCATGCGCAGCAAATGTTTGGCCACTTGCAACTGCTACTACAAATGCAAATGTAGACAACCCTGCAGGAATGGCGCTATCAAATCCTCTCCCTGCTTTTTGAGTGGTCACAGCGGTCCATCTCAGCAAAATCCATGGCTGAGTTTGCAAGCAGATATCCCGATTCTGGATGGCACCAGTAGCAAGCTTGTTCCCCAATTCAGGAATTCAGGAGGGATGTAATGAAGGCAATGGTTTGCTTTCTCTCAAATCTGAACGGTTTTGCACCGCGATGAACATCAGTTCCCAAGGACCCTCATGTGCACATGTTGATCAACATCGTCGGGGCAAACAAGAAAGAAGACTTTTTGCCGCCAGGAGCTGGATGTGTGGGTGGGTGGGTGGAATATTTATAGGGGACATCATTGTCAGAGCATTAGCCACATCAGAGAAGTTTGTGCATTGGTTTGATCAGGCTTTGAAGATAGAGCAAAGAAGGCTGCAGACAAGCTTGAGCTTGGTGTCGAAGCGATGGAGGAGGTCATGAAGGGATTGACCATGGAGAGCCCCATGGAGCTTGCGATTAGTACACTTGGAAACCTGTGTTTGGCAGGCTCCACCCTTAGCTATTTTCAATTGCAGAATCTTGGAGTAAAAAGGGGTCCAAGTTCGGACCATCATTTTTGCACTCTTGGCATACTGTGTAGGGACAAACAATAACAGAGAGCACGTTTGGCACATTTTCACTCCACTCATGGGATAAGGATCTCGCCCCTGGTACCTCAGATCGTGGAGGTGCTCCGGCCCCATCTTCGACCCATGGATCTTCGTCTTTGTGGAAAAACTGCTGGGGCCCTTTGCAATTTGCTACGCTTGAAGCCAGAGGAGGTTGGAATTGGTCAGATAGTATTGGTCATCAGAGCACAGGATGACACAAGTGACACAAGTGGAATATGTATTCGTTGGTGCTTGGTGATGCTGATGCTTGTGGTACATCCGTGTTGTGTGCGCAGATCGAGCATCACATACTGAACAGACCCCCTGAGAGACACGTTGGACTCGAATACCAAACACGCACCATTGGCGTAGGACTTTGGAACACTTTGGGCTTGTGTGGAACCCTCTGGCGCTTCAACATTGTTGTCTGGACCAAACAAAACAGCACCTCAGTGAACAAAGCATCAATACAAAAGAGGGCGATTAAAGTGAGGGGGTCATGTATTCGGCACTTTCAGGAAGGGTGAAGCCAGAGCCTGTTGGAGGAGAGCGAGCAAGGGGTGACACAAGTGCATCTCGATAACTGCTTTGGTGATGCGAGCCCAAAAGGTTCAACAGTGCATATTTTGCATCACCAAGTAGCCATGATACCATTCAAGTGGACAGCCGGATGTCCAGTTGTGTGTATCTAACGATGTAGGCGCGTGTCTTTAAGCTCAGCTGTACAGACGGCAGCCTGCAAGCAGGCATGTCAACGCTTTAAAGATTTCAACGAAGAAGGCTATCAGCTAAGGACTGCTTTGTGCACAGCGAAAGACCAGGCTTGCTCAGCTGTCCGGAGAAGCGGGCGCCGTGAACGCGCGCGCAGAACACCATCTAAGCGGTCCAAGAGAGGGTGGGCCGTAACCAACGGGCTCAACAAAAAGGCCATGAGTGGTGGTGCCCTTGCTTGATTAGTCGTTTTGTCAATGTTTTGGAGAAGAAAAAGGGGCGCCAGCAAAGGAGCGCTATCTTCAGGGGTCTAGCCCCCCCCAAGCAGCTGTAGAGAAGAACGTTGAAAGACTATCTACCTTAGACCATCTGCCTTGGCAATCTATGGGGTGCCCTTTAATAGAAGAATGAACGCTCCGCTTTACACGTCGCACCAAGGGAGGGAATAAGACAGATTCTGTTGAGATGAGACCTTCTGTGCACAGATGATGGTGAACCCACCCCAGATTTTACCAATCAGCAAAAGCTGCAGATTGTACAATCAGGTGTTGGTATCGAACCGTAATAATTTACACTGGCATGATAGCGGGTATATAAGGAAAAAACTCATAGCGCCTGAGGGAAAAGCCCAATGTGAAATGGCTTTCGTTGTCAATGAGCGGTGCCAAGGGGGTTGTTCACCTTGCCAGGCATGACATCTGTCAGGGCAGGGACGATATCCACCCCAACGGTGCTTGACGCATCGATGCGTGTATTGCCTTGTGGTATGCGTCGTTTTGCTTTGTGGTGGCATGTGTGACGCGAGGGACGAATGACATCATGTCAGGGATGACATGTCACGCCAGGATGATATCATGTCACGCCAGGGATGACATCGTGTCGTGCCAGCAACCATGTGAGCGCGCCCGCGCAAAAGAATTTCCACCAGCATTTCCTTCCTTCCTTCCTCCAGTGGCGCGGACTCACGCAAACGCACTTTCCACCAAGGCCGCGCAAAACCGCATGGCGCAGCGCTCGTGCATCACCAAATCTTCCTTTTCGGCAACAGCTGCAGCTGGGCCGGCGTGCGACCTAGCGCACCGAAACGCCGCGGCTCTGAAAGTTCCGAGGCCTTGAAAGGGAGGACGAGGCTCTTTGCCCATGTGGGGCCTTGTAGTTCATTTGTAGTTTCAGAGGGGGGTAGAGAGGGAGAGACAGAGACAGAGGAACAGAGAGGTGGAGAAAGGGAAGCAGAAGCGGAACAGAACTCTGAAGCTGTGAGGTCTGCTAGAGAATTGCCCGAGGAGTCGGCGACAGTATACGTGCTTGTTTTATGCAACCTCCACCTTTGTTTTCGACGACGGTTACACACTTTGGCACCCTCCACCTCCGTTTTCGGCGACAGTTACACACTTTGACAACCTCGACCTCTACCTTCGTTTTCGGCAACTGCTTCCACCACGCTCACTGCGGCGCCGAGAATTCACAGTTCACCGCACGTTTGAGCGCTCGATGCGTCTTGCGTAGACCCCTTTCTCGGCAGGATGGGCGTGCCTCCTTTCTGGGCAGGATGGAGGCCACGGGAATCTTAAAATCACCAGAGACCCATCAGCGTTATGATGGTGGGAGGGGGGCTGCCCAACGAAGCTACAGAAGACTGGTGGAAGCATTCAGGGGCGCCTGAACGCGCGCCTGCCTGTGGAAACCCTCTCTGCACAGCGATTCTTATGTCTCGCTTGCGAACTGTAGGCAGAGTTCATCCGTCGGTTTTCCCTACCATAGTGGTGTTTCGTCCATCTTGCTCCCTCGAAACAGGAGGCATCATGTTTTGTTTACCTTACCTAGAACAGGAGGCTTTATGTCCGTTTTTGTTTAACTTACCTAAGGCGATCTGTCTCGCTCACTGTGTGGAACTCCCTACTTCTACGTACTTGTCAATCAAAGATCAGACATGTGCACTCACCTGTTTGTCGAGTTTTGCTTGTCAATCTTGCTTGTTCAGTTTGGCATGCGCTTCATTTGCGCCGAACCTGCTAGCGACGGCCTCTAACCTGTCGCGTTGGCCCCTCACCTAGATGCGATTGTCTTGTCTACCTTCTACCGGTGGCCTCCAACCTAGTATAGCTGTCTTGTCAACTTCCTACCGATGGCTTCCAACCTTAACGCTGTCTTGTCTACCTTCTACCGATGCCCTTCAACCTACGGTGGCCTCCAACCCTTTTGTTTTTCCATGTTTTCCTAGGTCAGTGAGCGGCAAACCGCAATCCATGTCGCACCCAATTTCCCAAGTGTGTGCGCATGTCTGTTTCTACTTATATACGCATATATACATATATATGTATATCTATACATATATATATATATGCCTGACAAGGGAAGGGATGAAAGCCTGCCCTCGCTCTGTTTTGTTGCGAGAAAGTCCTTAAACAAAGCGCAGAAGGGCACCAACCCAGAAATGCGGCTTAAGGGTGTTTCCGGAATTGCGATGACAATTCATCTCAGCTCGGCTTGCAAGACTCAATCAAAATGCTCGAGGATACATCTGCCGTGTCCTGCTTTTTCACGGGCCTTATCCGCAGAACCCGCTGGTCTTGCACTTAGTTTGCCCGAGATGGCCCCCAAACAAAGCGCAAAAAGGCATCGACCAAGAAACTCCAGCTCCGCCCATCAGACTAGATCCACGGTCGTTCCACGCCTGCGTCGACAGCTCATCTCGAGCAAACCTCTACGTTTCACGCGTTTGGCATGCTTGCCCCCACAAAACCTGCCAATCATCTCAAGCAGGCTCGCGTGATTCAATCAATGTGCTCCAAGATGCATCTGCCACGCCCTGCTTTGTCACAGGTCTTGTTGCTAGGGCCCGCTTTTCACAGGCGGCCTTTTCTGCCCCGAGACAGCCTTCAAACGAGGCAGCGCCAACATAAACTCACCCTTAAGGTCTTTTCCGGGAGAATTTGGCGCCGGCGCAACCTCAAGATGGCCTTCGCACACACACACACAGCAAAAGGGCGCCAACCTCCAGAAAAACAATTTCCTGCGTCGACAAGTCATTGTTGCCGCGTCCGCTTTATCACGGCGCGCCTCAAGCAGAATGAAAACTGCCGAAAGCGAAAGAAAACAGAATGAAAACACAGGAAAGCAGAATGAATGAAAGCAGATGAAAGCAGAACGAGAGCAAAAGCAGAGCCTCCTTCGTTTGCCAATACTGATCTTGTCGATGATCTTGGAAGTAGGCCCATGCAACTTGCCGACGCGCGCGGTGCAGCCACAACTTTGCCTTGCGTCTTCTGCACCGGTACCGCCTGCCCAGAATTGGCCTCTGCAAAAAAGCATGAACCATTAACAATTAACAATCGTTATCGTGGAAAAACAACTTCGGCCCGCTTCGCCCCCCACACCCCCATTATTCACTTTGTTCGCAGGAACAACTTCAGCCCAGCCCATCGCCTGGCTTTGGCATCAGCAGCAACAACAACAACCCTGCGAACTGCGCGTGGACTTCTACCCTTGAATAGATGCGTTTTGCGCGCCTCCTACAGCCCTTCAAACAAACCTAATCCCAATTCACATCTGATTGTGGTTTGTCCCCAAATAGGTGCAAGCTATAGGGGTTCTTACTTTTCAATGGTGTGGATCTGGATCGGCGTTTTTGTTTTGCGGGCGCTGCTGCCGTGCGGCGTTTCGTTTTTTCCATGCTGGCGCGGGCGCTGGATCGGCGTTTTGTTTTGCCCGTGCTGCTGACGTGCTTTTGCGCGTGCTGCTGCCGTGCTGGCGCTGGCGCTGGCTCTGGATCGGTCTTTCGTTTTGCGAGCGCTGCTGCCGTACTGGCGCTGGCGCTGGTGCTGGGTCGGCGTTGTGTTCGTGCTGATGCAGGCGCTGGTGCTGGATTGGCGTTTCGTTTTGCCCGCTGGCGCCGTGCTGGTGCTGGTGCAGGCGCTGGCGTGGACGCTGGCGCGGGCGCTGGCACGGGCGCTGGCCTGGGCGCTGGCGCTGAATTGGCGTTTTCTTAGGGCACGCTGCGCGGGCGCTCACCGTGTGGTCAAATTACGTCTGTGACGTCGCTGTGCCATGCGGCTTTGCGCGGCCACGGTGGAAAGTGCGTTTGCGTGAGTCCGCTGTGCGTATAGCATCTTGTAGCATACATGCAAATGCAGCCATAAAACTTTCAAATGTATTCATACACATCTCTCGCGCGCGCCCCCGGTTACATAACCTTTCCTACCACCTTCCCCGGCCATTCGTCTAATTTATTTTTTTAGCCCATGATGTACGCTTGAGATGTGTGATACGCAAACCTGCTGAATCTTGGTGCGCGACTTGGCCAGGTGGAACGTTGCACAGGGCAACTTTTGGAGGCTGACGGGGCTGAATTCGAGACTTTAAGGGTTCTCTGGGCGGTTTTAACGAAATGTCACCATGGTAACTCGGATGAGAAAGGGATCACTCAAGAAATTGTAAGGTTCAGGAGAAACAAAATGTTACGCGTTCCTCGCTAGGCTCTCCGAGAAGAGGGCAAACCTGAGGCCAGGGAAATGATCAAGGCCAGAGGGTTCTGTGCGGTCTGTCCGTTGAGTGCAAGAGTTGGTTGTTCTTGCAATTGTTTTGCACATCAGTTATACGTTTTTTTTTTCACATGTGACTTCCATGCTTTTTGAGATGGGGGGTGCCTTGGTTAAATATTCCAGGTTATACCGTGAGTTCACAGAATATTTGTTCTGGAATATTTTTACAGGAATATTTATGGCTGGAGGTATATGATACTGATACTGGAGACACACCCCAGATCTTTTTTTTAACTGAAGAACGTGTTGGAGGAGTGATGAAAAATGGGCAATCTTGAGAAGAAGGGTGGAACTATACCCAGAATATTTATTTACAAAAACTAGAATCGTTCTGGAATATTAAATTCATAAAATTATTCCTGTAACTGGTCAGTTCACGGAATATTTTTTAAGAACTGGAAGTATATAGGAATAAACAAAAAATATTCTGCAAGGTCTCGACGTGGGTAGGTATCTAAGGCACCCGCCATTTTTTTGAGTATTCTGCGTATTGCCGTACAGAATGCAGGCGGTGCAAATGACTTCCGGACTTGGTCCTGCAACTCCGCAGCTCTTGGGCGCTTTGGTTAACCTGGCAGTTGCAAGACCCACGGCTCTGGTTGAGATGCAGCATTTGGGCACCCTCCAAGTGGTAATTCCTTTGATCGATCCTGAAGCCTATGGTGGGCCACTCAGGGGTGAAACCGACGGAAGGTGTGTGCCTTCTGGAAGTAAACCGCAAGATGTATGAGTCCTGCCTACTGAACCTTGTGCTTCCCTCTCATCGCATTGAGGCTCAAACAGTGCCGACAAGGTGATCTCTACCCGCGCATGTTTGGTGTCGAGTCGACTGCTTGGAGCTTTTCCAGATGGTCTCAGCCTGGATCAAGAAGCAGAACTACTTTTTCGCCTGTCCCAGATTCTGACCAAGGTGAAGAATGTAAACACAAATACATGTTTTTGAAACAGTTTTTGGATGCATTAAAAAAACAAAAAACTGTAGTTTATACATATATATATATATACACAGTATATATACACACACTCACACACATTTTCAACATGTTGATGCAACCCAACAAAACTTGATGCACCGAACAAAATACTGCCACATGGGTTGGCTGAGGTCAGTATCCCTGAGATCCAGGCCGATGTTGCACAGTTCAGCTCTGTTGAGAAGACTCCAACATTAGAGGCCATGGACCCACCGCTTCGGGTGCTGGTCACCCTGCTGACGAAGGCTCCAGGTGCCCTGGACAGGTGAGGGCCGCAGAACCTGTTGAAACTGCTCAGGTGCAGTTCTCTTTCCTGCAACGATCAAGATAAAGATCTAAGGAAAAGAGCCCAAGGCCTCTCTTAAGAAAAAACATTCTTGGAACTACGAACCTATCAGCAAAAGCACCAATCTTATTGAATCTGTTCACCACAGACATTGACCCTGCGAAAGGTTCGTCTCAGGAACGAGCTTGAAGACTGGAGATTGCTCGATCTCATTCTCTGGACTCATGGGGAAGGTGTTTGAGTTCATTCGTGTGCTGCAGCCTGCGAGCCATGTTGCTCTGGATGAGGAATCCTCAACGCCTTCCAGGCTGCGTGGAAATTTGGCACTTCTAGTGAGCTTGCTGAGTGATCGACAAGCTTCGGAGAACGCGGCCCCTTCCTTGCGAGAGACTCGTCCAGTTGTTTGGGATACAGGTCAGAGCACTGCAGCAGCCACCTAACAATTTGCATAATGATATTTAATATGTTTTAGTGTTGAGAGGTTCTACTCTCCTAAGCGGCTTTGGTCATTCATGATTGCCAATTGTTAGGACTTGGATCTTTCCATGGTGGTCCCTGTGCTGGTGGAGATGCTTCGCAAGGAACGAGGATCTGCTCAGCACAACCTGGGCGTTTCCGTGACCAAATTGGCACAGAATCCGCGCTACCGGGACCAAGTCCGTGAGTTGAACGGCCTTGAATCCCTTCATCAGATTCAGTTCCGTGGCGCAAGAGACTGTACAAGTATCCCCTAACAGAGGTTGCATTTTTTTTCCCCAAACTGTTAGGGGTTCTCAATTCTTTCTTAAGATGTGTCCGCCCTTTGCGTTAGTGCTGGTGTCCGCCCTTTCCCGCTGGCCATGTAGCATTTCTATTCATTTGTCTCCCAGGTCTGTCACTGCTGGTGTCCGCCCTTTTCCCGCTGGCCATGTAGCATTTCAATTCATTTGTCTCCCAGGTCTGTCACTGCTGGTGTCCGCCCTTTTCCGCTGGCCATGTCCGCCCTTTTCCGCTGGCCATGCAGCATTTCTATTCACTTGTCTCCCAGGTCTGTCGTAGCATTTCTATGCGTTTGTCTCCCAGGTCTGTCGCTGCTGGTGTCCGCTGTCGCTGGTGGTGTCCGCCTTTTCTGCCCATGTAGCGTTTCTATTCATTTGTCTTCCAGCTCTGTCGCTGCTGGTGTCAGCTCTTTTCTGTTGGCCATGTAGCATGTCTATTCATTTGTCTCCGCAGGTCTATCACTGCTGATGTCCGCTCTTTTCCGCTGGCGACGCAACATTTCTATTCATTTGTCTCCCAGGTCTGTCACTGGTGGTGTCCGCCCCTGGCCATGTAGCATTTCTATTCATCTGTCTCCCAGGTCTGTCACTGCTGGCGTCCGCCCTTTTTCGCTGGCCCATGTAGCATCTCTATTCATTTGTCTCACAGGTCTGTCGCTGCTGGTGTCCGCCCTTTTCCATTGGCCATGTAGCATTTCTGTTCATTTGTCTCCGAGATGTGTCACTGCTGGTGTCCGCCCTTATCCGCTGGCGATGCAACATTTCTATTCATTCCCCAAGCAGTTTGCCGTTACGTAGGGTTTCTCAATTCTTTCTTAAGATGTGTCCGCCCTTTCTGTCACTGCTGGTGCCCGCCCATTTGTGCTGGCCATGCAGCATTCAATTCGTTTGTCTTTAGAATGAGTTCTTTACTTTTGTCTCCCAGGTTCGGTGCCTGCACTGCTTGTGTCCGCCCTTTTCCGCTGGCCATGCAGCATTTCTATTAATTTGTTTCCCATGTGGTTTGTTTACTTTTGTTTTCCAGGTTCGGTGCCTGCACTGCTGGCATGCGCCCTTTTCCCCTTTCCAGCATTTCTATTCATTTGGCTCCCAGGTGATTTCTGTACTTCCCCAAACAGGCTATTGTTAGGGGTTCTAAATGCTTTGTAAGAGTGTCCACCTTGCTGCCGGACAGCGTGTCCGCCTTCCGTCCGGCTCACTGTGTTCCTGGTCTGCCTTTTGTCTCCCTTGGTCTCCCTTCTTGTTGATCACGGTCCCCCTTCTTGTTGGTCACTGTGTCCGCCTGTTCCCCCTTCTGTTCCTTTTGTCTCCCTTCTTGTTGGTCCTTGTGTCCGCCTTGTCTCCCTTCTTGTCTCCCTTTGTCTCCGGTCTTGTCTCCCTTCTTGTTGGTCATTGTGTCAGTCTTCTCTCCCTTCTCTTTCCTTTCTTCTCCCTTCTTGTCTCCCTTCTTGTTGGTCATTGCGTCCGCCTTGTCTCCCTTCTGTCTCCCTTTGTCTCCGGTCTTGTCTCCCTTCTTGTTGGGCACTGTGTCCGTCTTGTCTCTCTTCTGTTTCCTTTTGTCTCCCTTCTTGTCTCCCTTGTTGTCCCCCTTCTTGTTGGTCATTGTGTCCGCCTTGTCTTCCTTCTTTCCTTTACATTTGCCTCCTCTCTCCCCCTCTCGCTTGCAACCCTTCACATTTGTCTCCCAGCTGCTCTCCCCTGCAATAGTACATTTGTCTCCCAGCTCTGGGCTGCGTGTCGCTTGCAATCCTTTACATTGTCATTTGTCTCGCTGTGTCTACATGTGTCTCCCAGCTCTGGACTGCTGTGTTCGCCTCTGCCTTGCAATCCTTTACATTTGTCTCCCAGCTCTGGGCTGCTGTGTCCGCCTCTGCCTTGCAATCCTTTACATTTGTCTCGCAGTGCTGGGCTTTTGTCTCCCAGCTCTGACTGCTGTGATTTTTCGCCTTTTGCCTTGCAATCCTTTACATGTGTCCTCGCAAGCCTTTGCATTTGTCTCCCAGCTCTAGACTGCTGTATCCGCCTCTGCCTTGCAATCCTTTGTCTCCCAGCTCTGGACGTCGCAAACTCTAGTTGCAGAGTGTTCCGATATTGAAAAACACAAACTGTTTGGGGTCTACGGTGGTGTCATGTGCATTCTTCGTTCCCCAAACTTGGGTGGGTTTCAGTTGTACAACCAAGGTTGCCAAAGGTCAACGCACAGAAAGAGAAGGAACAGAGGATCAGGGTCTTGCACGTCTTGTTTTCAATGTTCTGGCTCGCGTATGCTGAGTGTTGTTGTGTTGGACATTCTTTGTACTCCCAACCTGGCTTTAGAAGTGTGTTTAGACTTGAACCCCTCGAGGATACATCGCCTTGAAACCTCTGCAGAAGACCGCAGGCGTGCCATTGCCATGCGGCGTGGTTAATTCTGTCTTTGGGCCAGCAGTGGCCTGAAAGCTGGGTGGATCCCTAAAGACTCTGTGCATGACGTCGCAAGATGCGACGTGCGATTCGAATTAAAAGGACACTGCCGCTCGCAGCAAACGTTGACATGTAAGTAAGGACCTTAAAACGACATCATCGTCATCTTAGTCCATTGGTAGATGTGCGGCATAACTTGGATGAACCACAGATCATGTCAGATTTCCGGACCTAGACCACTGCAGTTTCGGGTGGACATTCCTTCAGAAGAGGGGTCAAGATCTGGATTTTCAAAGTTGAAAAAAGGTGCACTACTTTCTGCTACTGTATCCTTCTCGAGGTTTCGACATTGCAACAAAGTTTCAGGGCTCAGTAGAGTTGGCTCCTACGTGGCCCTTGCTTCTGACTTCTGACAGCATGGATGGCAAGGTGCGAAGGGACTGGTGGGAGCATGGAAACTGCGTGAAATTGGGCAAACTGCTTTCCTCCTCCTTTCCTGGCACCACAGATCATATGCAGACTTTTGGACCAGGAGTTAGACTGTGCAGGCAGTGGTCGGGACACCTCCCGACTGCACCTGATGTAAATCATGGCTCCATGCTTGGAGCACACCTGAGTACGACTGCATAAAAGCTGCCCGCTAGCGGACTCTTTCTTCAAATAAAATGGTGACTGACTGAGTAGTAACAAGAAGCTACTAGTAACAAGTGCATCGCTAGTAGTAACAAGTGCCTTACTAGTAGTAACAAGGACGCT